CTGAAGGGGGTGGGGGCGGACGAGGGAGCGCTGTCATATCGGATGGCCAGCGCCCAGCGGTGAGGGGGGAGAAGCCGCCCCCAGGACGAGCTGTGTCCCTTGTTGCCATGGCGCCCTGTGCGGCTGCACTGCTCGCACACCCCTAAGGCCGGCCCTGATCCTCAAACCATCTCTGAATTCATGCTGACACTGTCCTTCCTTCTGGAGGGTGGTTACTTTTGTTCCCCAGGGTCCCTGTGTGTGTTGTAAATCAGCCACCACTCCAAGCTCACTTCTGTGATGTGTTGAGGAAAAGTACTGCATGTAGTACTTTTTTCAGCGCACACCACTGTGAACTATGCTCTTCTGTGACAAGGCAAATTGCCTTGTCTTGCATTGGGATTGCGCTTGAAAAAACCAGCCAGCCCCAACACATCTGGTGGGAATGGGCCCTTAAAGTTAACACTGAATGATGGCCCTAGAATTATATCTTACTCCAGCATGTATGGCAGATGTCAGATGGTCGCTGTTCTCCGATCCATGGAATAAACCTGGAAGCAACAATGATTTTGTCATTACCAGGTTCAGAGCCGTCATTGTGCATTAATAGCTTCATTTGAGTACAAAGTTGACAAACCCTAATGTCTCCTTTAAAGAGAACCTGTCACTGCTAATATGATGTCACAAGCCCCCGATGTGATAGCATTATAATTAATTTAAAATGTCCCCCACCCCGTGTACGCATACGTATGAATGCAAAGATATGGGTGTGCCTCTGTACAAAAAAACGACGATTGTTCCACACTTGTTAGGTATCACCGTGCTTGGCAGGGTGAGAGCAATCATTCTAGGGCCATTATTCATGGTTCTCTAAACTGATGACCTGTGAAAGCTTTTACAGTGCTTCTTATGATAAGTTTTAGGTATTGTAGTTTTTTGCCATTTTACAGACGCACACAATTTTGAGGCTTGATGTATTTGGTACATGGCACATGGCTTTAAAAATCACAACTGCCACCATTATATACTACAGGGTCTCTGCTTTCAGGATATATAACATTCTGGGGGGTTTTAAGTAAGCTTTGGGTCTAAAATGTGCATTTTACCGTGTGCAAAAAAAAAAAGTGCTGGCAGCAAAAGGGTTAAAGAAGAACGTCACCCTCACTGTTATTTTTTTGGTAATCCCCTCTTGCTTTGTTCACTGGGTTACCCTCAAAACACATACTCACACAACCAGCAGATACGGCTTGTCCTGCTGTAATCTGCCACATGCCAGGTCCCACACTGCCATCTTCTTTACCTACATCTTTAGTTTGATGACTGTACAAGCCTGTGCATTGAGCTGCGCATGTGCACTCCTTTTTTGCCTGAAAAAGGGACCAAGCGGTTCCGAAACGTCGCTATGTTGTGACACTACAGAGGTCAATAAATAGTGACCAAAATTAAGCTGGAGTGCGAGTGACCTTTTCTACATTTGCGGAGGCATCAGCTGTCACTTGGGCACCCACCTGATGCTTTAGGCTTGGTTCACACCTAGGCATATCAAATATGCGCGTTTGTCGTGCGTTTCGTGCCGTGCGTTTTTACCGCAGTTTTTTCACAGTAAAAAAAACGTGCGACAAACGCGCATTTCCGAGGGCTACCTGGCTGTATACCAATGGATACGCGCTGCAAATACGCCCCAAAGAAGCTCCTGTGCTTCTTTGGGCGTAGGGCGCTTTGCAGGGCTTTCCTACGCGCTGTAAAACGCCCAGGTGGGAACCATGCCCATAGGCAATCATTGGTTTTCACATGTTGAGCCTTTTACAGAGCGTAGGAACGCGCTGTAAAATGCCCAGGTGTGATGGAAGACGCTGTAAAACGCCCAGGCAATCAGATTTAATGGAAGTGTATGATGGTGCTATAGACAGACCAGTGTTGAGGCTTGCGTTGTAAAGGCTTGCACTGCAAAGGCTTGCACTGCTTGGCATTTGCTCCTAATTTAGGTTGACATGTAAGCTTTTTTTTAAAAAAAATTTTGCCCAGGATTTCAGAGGTTAAAGAAGGGAAAGCATAATGAACTGGCTTTTATCAGGAGGTGTGCGTGGAGATGTGATGTCAATGGTGAGAGGTGGAGTTGACAGTCACAGCTAGATGTAGGAGGGAGGGAAAAAAGCTGACAGCTTAGTGCTGAGACTCAGAATTCACTTCTCAGTACCGAGGCATAGTAACAAGTCACCAGCCCTGGTTTCTATGAGCTGTGCTTCTCACACAACCTGAGACACACATACAAAGCCAACATGGAAAACAAGCGACAGCCAGGTCAGTGAGCGTCTGTTGCTGTGTATATGTAGCACACCTGACCCAATAAGTGCTTGTGTGACATCTATACCGTGTCATTCCACATCACCACAGGTGTGTAAAATCACGACCATCGCTGGATCGGTGTGCCTTTTATTGTAAAGTCTTTTGCAGTTTATCACATTTTACGTTTCCAATACCTACAGAAGATGATTGTTACACTACATCATCTCCATGCCAGTTGCCGATGTATAAAGTGAGTTACGTGGCTATGCGTTGCAGTTTAAACTGCTGTCGTGTACATGTGACATCTGTTCTGGGTATCTGTTTATAACATTATCATTTTGTCTGATGTATCATTATAGGATGCTGGAATGAGGATTTTCTCAGGTCTTACCTGTCCGTCATCTGTCTCTCCCCCTCCCTCGCTCCATCTTCTGTTCCGTGTACCGGTGAAAGTGTATCACAGGTGGCGTGGATGTATTCTGTACTGTTCTGCGTTGTCACGGTCTGCGTCTGGCAAGAGTCTTCAGACCTATGATTGCCGCAGAAAGGGTTAATTTGAGGTTTCTGTATCATGCCAGTGGAATGAGTGTGACTGTGAGTGACGGGACTTTTTATATGCATTAACTCTAGTCTTTGCATTTGTAGGTCACACATCTACATAAATATGTTAAATAACATTTATGCAAAGCAGCGTCTGCAGAACATAAAGCTAGACTAATAGCTTATACCATAGAGACAAACACACCGTTCTCTCTGTGGGTGTCTCTTATATTGAATGTATCCTACATATGGCAAAGAAGGACCACAAATAGAAATCCTGTTTATTAGGGGTTTTTGCATGTATCCTACATATGGTATTTAAAGATATTTTGCATTTCTCATACATATGGTGTAGAAGGAGCAAGAATAGAAATCCTGTTTATTAGAGTTGTTTTGCATTTATACTACGCACAGTATTAACGTTATTTTGCATTTCTCCTGCAAACAGTATTACAATTATTGTACATGTATCCTACACACAGTATTAAAGTTATTTTACATGTATCATACATACTGTATAGAAGGAGCAAAAACAGAAACCCTGCTCTGATAATGTCTTCAAATCAATCTCTTTCAACAACTATAAAAAGTAGCTCTTCCAACTCATCACGCAGAATTAGAATATTTAGTAGAATATTTTGTCTCCATGTTTTTAACTGTATTGTACAAGACCGTACTTGCGGCTAGTCCTGTGCAAATACTGATTTTAGCAGAGTCGCTATTTGCATAGGATTGTCTACAGGGGCGGAATAAGGTGGCAGTGGCACTGTGTGCTTCTAAGCTTGAGCATTACTTTGTTCTCAGTACAGCGTTGATCTAATCAGAACTATAGTACCTCATTATCAGCTTGTCAGGCTCTCTGGAGATGTGGATTCTGGTTAACCAGGGCAAGAATAGACAAAGAAATATGGCTTAAGATTACTACTCTAAAAGGAATTTTGCAACAGAAAAGAAACTAATGAACACAAGATGCCTTCAAATGAACACAAGATGGAAAATATCTAACCTGTTTCAGCAGCAGGATAAAATTACACTGTGGCATTGCTGTACATCATAATAACTTTATATTTGCATAGTATTAGACTTGTACTGAATGCATTGAAGTTGATCTCTAGGCAGATATAAAATACACAAATGATTGTAGATCCCTAATAAGTAATTACATGTATTTTATAAATGCAAGCAGTTTAAGTACCTGAATTTCACCTGGTATCTGTCTCTGTACAGTAAGGCTGGAGTGTGAGAGGAAGAAGCAGCACACGGAACTAGTCAGTGCATGTGCTGATAGGAAGAGAGAGCGGAATGACAGAAATATGAACTCATCACTGTACTGCTTCTCCTTTCACTGTTCAGTCACAAGCTGGGTGGGGGGGGGGAGGGGGCCAGGACAACCTGGGCTCAGAGGACGGGGGTTGAATGATGCTGGACAGCAGAATGAGGACATCTAGTGGCAGAAAAAGTACTGCAGGAAAAATCTCTGGATTGAAGCTGAGCAGTGTAGCAAAAGCTGTGTTTGTTGTTTTATCCTGCAATGGACTCTTTTTACCATGTTATTGTTGGCTTTAGCTCTGCTTTACATTGCTCAGTATAACACGTTTTCTAACCAAGTGAAATGTTGTGTATCACACTGTACTATGTGGTATGCAATGATTTTAAGTTTCCTCTAACCATGTTGAAGACAACACATACTTTAAAAACGGACCAGATCCTCTCACATTGCATACATATAGCTGCGAATACTCTGCTGTAGATCAGCGTGCTGATGAACTGGTAAAAAAAATGCAGGAAATTGGAGAAAGGGTAGTCAACCTGGGTACTCAAGCTGTTACAGAACTACATATCTCATGATGCATTGCAACACTCCGACAGGTACAGGCATGAGTCCCTGAGGCATGGTAGGATTTGTAATTTTACCATAGTTGGAGTGCCAAGGTTGCCTACCCCTGAATCGGAGGGTTTTTGGATTGCTCTCTGGAAGATGAGTCTACCAACTGGGTGCAGAGTTAGAATCTTTGTGTGTCTATAGATCCTCTTCACCTCTGAGAGTAACTGTATCGCTTCATTATTGGCATCTGTTTTATATGAAAAATGGTATGCATGAAGTGAAAATGGGGGCTATTCACAAAAGAGCCGAAGGATCCAGCTGTAGCTTCGGCTGTCTTCGGCCGCCGGAGCCCCTCGGTTCAGTCGAAGGCGACTCGACTTAGCCAAAGTGTCAGCCGAAGCGGGGCGAACGGCCTGCCGAAGGCCGGCCTTTCGCCCCACAACTGACAGCTGGGCCCAGTTGTAATGACAGATCAGTGTCCCCAAATGACCTGGGGATACTGAACTGTCATTAAACAATAACACCTGAACGGAGTTTTTATTCATTAGCTGGGACCTGCTAGAAGACAGTTGAGCAGAGCTAGCTCTCACTGCTAGCTCTGCCCAATTGTTTTTGTAAAAAATATTGTTTTACATTTAATATTTATTTACATTTTTTAAAATATTTTTTCAACTTTTTTCACTATTTGCTATTCTGCTCGGTACCACAGAGGTGCCGAGCAGAATAGCCAAGCCGAATGCCGCTCGGCAGCATTCCGTTATTCACTCACTGCCGTTCTACCCCTATGTGAACAGGGGCGAACGGCAGCGAGTAAGCTGCCGGAGCTTTGGCTCAGCCAATCCAGATGTTGAATCGGCTGAGTCAAAGTCTTTCTGCACTTTGGCTAAGCCGACCATGAAGAGCACTTTCCGTTGACTGAAGTGCAGCCGAAGGCTCGGTTATTCACTCAGCTGCCTTTGGCAGCTGAGTGAATAACCCTCTATGTGTCACCATGGTTCAGACATAGACTCTATGAACATTGCTGCACTCCTTATATTTGTTTACTTTCCCACTTATCTACTGAATAGAAAATCAGCAGATCTTTAGCATCATGGTTGGAGCTTTCTTTGCTTTTCCTTTAGCTTTTAAAATGTTTTGTGAGTTTTGCTGGTATTTTAGCTCAAATAGTCTTTGTTGTTTCAAGTAGAATGTGGAGGATGTGTTTTGTGTGTCCTTTGTTAACAATAGGGATGGACCGATACCAGTTTTTCGAGTTACGATTTTTTTCCCCAGTACTCGCCGATACGAGTACCGGTGCCGTGTGCCCAGATTATCGGGGGGTAGAGCAGGGGATCATGACCCATTGCTCGGCTTCCTGATTGCCTGTGAAGCCGGTGTTCTAGAGGAAGATCAGGAAGCCAGGAGGCACGTCATGAGGTGCTGTCCGGCTTCCTGATTGGTCAGGAAACCAGGCTGCTTATCAACAAGTGAAGGCGGCTCGCTAGCCAATCAGGAAGACGGGTGGCACATTATGACCTGCCTCCCAGCTTCCTGATTGGCTAGGAAGCCGGCATCACTTTTCCCTAGGCAGCGTGGCTTCCTGACCAATTAGGAAGCTGGGACGTGAGTCATGGCGTGCCGCCCGGCTTCCTGATTGGTTAGGAAGCCAGGCTGCTTTCTAACAAGTGAAGCCGGCTTCCTAGCCAATCAGGAACCATTCAGCACGTCATGACCCGCCTCCTGGGTTCCTGATTGGCTAAGAAGCCTGCTTCACTTGTTCCTAGGCAGCCTAGCTTCCTGACCAATCAGGAAGCCAGGAGGTGGGTCATTACGTTAAAATGTGTGACCGGTCACACATTCCAACCTAGTCACAAACTTTGATAGAACAGTGGCAGGCATTGCAAATTTAACACAGCTTTATTTGGAGTTGATATTCAGTTAAAAGTTTAAGCGGCAGCTGAGGGACTATTTTTTGATCTGAAGGAGGGATGCAGAGCTGTTATCAGACCTATTCTTTGTAAATGTTTGCTGAGTTACTGTAAATGTTCACTAATTCTTAGGGTCTGTTTAGGACTAGAGTGAATGTGCGGAAATCCTTCCTGGGATTCAAAAGTTTGTCTTTCTGTGAGGGTGGAAGGTATTCTGTCTACAACAGTCTACTTGTAGCTTTTGCAGTTATGTGCCCATTCAGTGCTGTTATGTGCCCATTCAGTCACTGCAATTTACAAGTCTTTTCACTGTTTGTATGGATGCCAGTAGGCCTAGGTATTTCCTACAAATAGTTGTCACTTGAGCTTGTGCTTTACGAAGGTGTCAGGCAGCAGAGGACAGATGCAATGTATGCTGTCAGCTAACAATTGCTCATAGATTATACCACCTGAGTTAGATACAGGTACACTTTAAACTGCAATCTGTACATCAACATTTCTGAGCATAATGCTTTGAGTTGATGTAATTTAAATCTACATTCGCCATTTGAAAACTTGCAGCACACGCAGGAACCTGCTGATAGCTATGGCCACTTTAACGATAGGGAACCAAAGAAAGTGCTTCCTGATCATGTGATCACTATGACCTTGTGATCACATACACATGTATACAACAAACCTTACAGCTTGCATAAGCCACACAAGCCTAAAGATGGCAGTGTATCTCTGCTTAACACTGTAAT